ACATATGTATGTGTACCGCATGCATATGCTTACAGAGGCCAGAAGAGGGCGTTAGATCCCCTAGAACTGAAGATACAGGAGGTTGTGAGCCACCACGTGGGTGCTGGGGACCAAACTCAGGTCCTCTGAAAAAGCAGCCAGTGCTCTCAACCATCTCTCCAGTCCCCTGTTTTTGTTTTTGTTTTTTTTGGTTTGGTTTTTCGAGACAGGGTTTCTCTGTGTAGCCCTGGCTGTCCTGGAACTCACTCTGTAGACCAGGCTAGCCTCGAAGTCAGAAATCCACCTGCCTCTGCCTCCCCAGTGCTGGGATTAAAGGCGTGCGCCACCACTGCCCAGCCATCCAGTCCCCTGTCAAAGTAACTATTATTTACCTGAAATGATTGTTGTCCCAGAGGCTTACTGCCTCTAGCTGCTAACCTAGGCCGAGTGCTGGAAGCTTCTAGCCTCCATTCAATCTAATCTAGGCCTAGAATGGTTTCAGCCTCTGAGACTTGCCGCTGAATAAACTCACCCTTTCTAGCTCTTCCTGAACTCTAGCTGGGTGGGTCAACTCAGCTGTTCTGGGTCAAACTCCTCTCCAAACTGATTCAATCTGGCTTCTCTTGGTTTCTCCTGGATCACTGTGCTTGGCCTCATACTAACTTTGGAAGAGATTTTTTTTTTCTAATCTTCTGGCTCCTTCTCATTCTCTGGCTCATTCTGTCTTCACCTGTGCCTAGTTTGTTCTCTCTCTGCAACCTGTCTCTGTAAGACAGCCTCTTCTCCCTTTTCTCGGAGCTGCTCTCTCATAAGCAGCCTCTCTTTCCTCTCTCTTCTTGTGAGAGTTGGGCAGATCCTATTCTGTTAGATCTTTCTCTGATTCGTCACTTTATCTGCCACTCAATTAGACTTCATTTTCTTTTTTTTTTTTTTTAAACTATTTATTTATTATATGTAAGTACACTGTAGCTGTCTTCAGACACCCCAGAAGAGGGCATCAGATATCATTGCAGATGGTTGTGAGCCACCATGTGGTTGCTGGGATTTGAACTCATGACCTCTGGAAGAGCAGTCAGTGCTCTTAACCACTGAGCCATCTCACCAGCCCTAGACTTCATTTTCAAACATGTCTGCTTCCTTTCACAAACTAACTCTATTGGTTGGGTTTAAAAGTGTGTACTAAGAGCACGTCTGCATTCCAGAAAGAGGGACTAAAGGTGTGTGCTAAGGCTGAGCCATACCGCAACTAGAGAAAGGTTTAGCCAGTAAACAACACAAGCCCAGGGTTCACAGTGTCATCAAATATCCTGCAACAGTCCTCTCCCTACAACCATCTCATTCTTTTAGATTTTTGGTGTTAACAAAGTGAAAAGCGAATTGGTAGGTAGTACAGGGACACCAATCTGAGAGCCCCAGAAGATCAGACAGACAGACAGACAGACAGCACATATTCAAGAACCATGAGTCAGTCCTGTGGTCCTCACCCTTAGTAGACTGAGGCAGAAGGTTACCTATGAGTTTGAGGCCAGCTATGTCTACAGAGTGAGACCTCGTCTAAAAAGCATAAAAGCTAAGGGCTGAGAGCTGGCTCCATGGTTAAGAGCACTTGCTGCTCTTCCAGAGGACCTGAGTTCAGTTCCCGACAACCACTTCAGGCGGCTCACAACTGCCTATAACTCCAGTTCTAAAGGTGAGGGGACCTTGGCAGCATGGTTCTGAGCCACAGTTGAGTGGTTCAGGAGGTACACTCTGTCCTCAAGGCATCCAGTGCTGGGCTGGGTCTGGGTCTGGGGCTCTGCTGGCAGAGAGGCTTGCCTGGTATGCATGAAGTTCTGGATTTCATCCCCAGCACTGAATAACACTGGTTATGGTGGTGTGTGCCTATAATCCTAGCAGCCAGGAAGATCAGGAATCCAAGTTGTCCTCGAGTTTAAGCCCCTATCTCAAAAAAAACTCATATCCACATATATGGTATCATATATATGGCGCGATATGGAAATACTTGTTAGTAGCATCTTGTCAATCATGGATTCAAATGCTGTTGAGTTACCATATAACCCTATGATAATTATCTTGGCTGACTGGAAACAACCGGAAGAGTCTCAGTAGGAACTGTCTACATCAGCTTGCCCTGTGTGTCTTTATTTTTTGGTTATTTGAGACAGTGATTCTCTGAGCAGCCCTGGCTCTCCTGGGACTCCTTCTGTAGACCAGGCTGGTTTCAAGCTTAGAGATCCACCTGCCTCTCCCTCCCAAACTTAGAGATCCACCTGCCTCTGCCTCCCAAGTGCAGAGATTAAAGGCGTGCACCCCTATGTTTCTTAATTAACTTCATTGATTTGGAAGACCAAGCCCACTTTGTGTGTCCCCATTCTGTAGGCAGTGGGACCTGAACTGTGGAAGAGTAGAAAAATCAACCTGACCACTAATCAAGCAAGGAAGTCTGCATGCATTCTTCTTCTTCTTCTTCTTCTTCTTCTTCTTCTTCTTCTTCTTCTTCTTCTTCTTCTTCTTCTTCTTCTTCTTTTTCTCCTTCTCCTCCTCCTTCTCCTCCTCCTTCTTCTTCTCTTTCTCCTTCTCCTTCTTCTTTTCTTCTTCTTCTCCTTCTTGTTCTTCTTCTCAATCTATTATCTTCACTCTGCTCTTGACTGTTGATGTAGTGTGACTCACTCATCAAGTTCCTACCACTGTGTCTTCCCTACAACAATAGGCTATAACCAGGAACTGTGAGCTAAAAGAAACCCTTTGTTTCCTCAGTTGATTTGCTCCGATACTTTATCCCAGCAGCAGAACTGAAACCCGGACAGATTTCCATTGTCCTCCTGTGCGTATTCTCAATGTGACCAAAAGCAAGAACCAGAGCAGATACCTGTGCATCAATGCCTAAAAGCAACACTGTTCACAGAAACTGAGAAGTGGAGCCCAGCTGGGACAGTGCACATCTAAAAGGTGTGAAGCCCTGGGTTCCATTCCCGGTACCGCATAAAAGTGGCCTTAGCAGTGCACACCTGATACCCCAGTATTCGGGAGGTGGAGGCAGGAGGATCAGAATACCGAGATCGTCAAACTGTGGCCATCAACAAAGAAGAAGTCCGATAGGAACTACATACACTTCAGATCCACCCTGAAAACATTATGCTAAATGAAAAAAGCCACACCCAAGGGCCAGAGGCTATCAAATTTACACAGTACAGATGACTGAATCCATAAAGATAGAAGATAAAAAAGACACCGTGGAGAGAAAGAAATGGAAAGTCCCTGTTTAAAACATGTGGTTCCTGACTGGGGCATTTAAAAGTTCTACAGAGAATGGCAGTACGTTGCTGAACTTTGTACTGATAAATTGAGCCAGTGAGAGGGTTCAGCAGGTAATGGTGCTTGCTGCCAATCATGATAACCTGGGTTTGAACACACGTGGTGGAAGGAGAAACAAAATTCCACAAGTGGTCTTCTGACCTCCAATGCAAATCATGACACATGCCTCCCAAATAAATAAATGTAATAGTTTTTAAATTGGCTAAAGATCGTAAGATTGTTCCGTTGCTGTGGGAAATACAGAAATGTCTAAAAAATAAAAAAAAAAGAACTAGCATATAAACCTATAATCTCATTACTTGATATATATCTGGAAGGACTGAAAATAAGATCAGAAAGAGATGGGTTATGTGCCCAAGTTTATTGCCAAGAAGTGGGGACAACCTGAGTGTCCACTGAGAAGTGGACAGGAGAGAGAAGCTAGTACTACAGTGGAATATTACTTTCCTATGAAAAAGACTTTACGCCCAGTGAATTAAGCCAAACACCAAAGAACTCCGAGCGACTCCTCTCCTGAGAGTACTGCAGACAGCCAACTTCAATCTCATAGGATCAGAAATAGAACGGAAGTTACTAGAACGGAAGACAGGAAGGGGGAGGTACCCAACACACACAGTTCAGCTTTGAGAGGAGAAACGGTATAAAGATCTATCGCACGGCAATGTGCCCACGCAAGACAGGAATCCAAAAATTCTTACACTTTTATTTAGTATATGTATGACAGAGGGAGATTTGTAGCTGATAAATATCTAGTTTGTTTCCGTTTCCATGTTTTGATGCTTTAAAGAGTGATTCCAAGAGCATTTGTGTGGGACTGTGTAGGACTTCGTATGAACCTAATAGAACAGATGTCTAAGACGTTGCATTTTAATTTATTGCATGTGTGTGTCCGTGCACTGTGTGTGCATGTGTATATATATAATATATATATATATGTATGTGCATGCAAGTGTATGTGCATATGTTTGCATGTCTCTGTATGTATATGTGTGTGTGCTTGAGTATGTGTGCGCGTGTATATGTGTATATTATACACGTGTGCATGTGAATGCATGCATATATGTGTATACGTGTATATGTGCATGTTACGTGTAGTATCCTTGTGTGTATATGTGTGCTACGTGTGTGTGCATGTGTGTGCATATGCGTGTGTGTGTGTGCATGTGTGTTTGTGTGTGTTGTGCATAGGAAGGTCCTTACAACTTTGGTTCGCTTCTACTGTATGGTCCTGGGGACTGAACTCAGGGTGTGAGAATTGGGAGCAGGTGCTTTTACCTTCAGAGCCATCTCGCTAGCCCCACATTCTAAAAAGCCAAAGATAGAACCATCTATTTTAAAAAATTTTTTCCAGTTTAATAACAGCCTTTCCACACGAACACATGAACCAAGCTCTGTCCTGAAGGCGGAGCCTCTGTGTTTGTGAACGAAGCCTGAGCAAATGCGAAGGCTCACAGCTTCCGAAGCGGTGCCCGGCCCCCGGAAGCCCCCCTTAGCAACGAATCAGGCTGCGGTTGCTAAGGGAAAAGGAACGGGGAAGAGGGCGTCCGTGCACTATTGCAGTCCGGTGTGACTAATTTCCGGTCCGTCCTCCTGGATTTCCCCCGCCGAAGCGGGGTCGCCACCGCCGGTTCCTCCACTTTGCGAGCCTGGCACACTGGGCTCTTCATTACGCTGCAGCGGGCGGGGGGCGGCGGCTGGTGGCGGCGGCGGCAGCGGCCGCGATGCTGAGTTCCCGGGCGCAGGCGGCGAGGACGGCGGCCGACAAGGCCCTCCAGCGCTTCCTGCGCACCGGGGCGGCCGTCAGGTGAGCGGGTGGGGGGTGGCGGCCGCGGGGCCTCCAGGCCTGCGCCGACCCGGCCGAGGCGGAGGCCGCGGCCCAGCGTCGCCTCCTCGTCCCTGCAGTGGCCGCGGCCTGCGAGGCCCCGCAGCCTTTCGCGGTGACCCCAGACCCGGGCTCCAGGCCCACAGTCTCCCCAGGCCTGAACACCGCCCCCAGTTTGTCGTATGCCCGTCTCCCACCTCTGCCCTGCTGTGAATACTCAGTTCTGCATCCCAAACCGCGCTGGCTCCCAAGCTATCCAAGCCCCTCCGCTGGGAAGCTGCCCAGTCTGTGACAACTGCAGGCTCTTCGTTCCTGCTAGGACCCCCGCCTGCACCCCAGCCCGTTTATCTTCCCAAGGCCTGGGGCCACACCCCCATTGCTCACCCAGACTGCTGGGACCTGTTGCTTGGGTTGGCTTCCTTGGATACCGGGGCAGATCTAATAGCGTCTTATCCAGCTTGGAAGCCCCCCACTCCCCGTGTTTATCCTGTCCAGCGCTCTTATTTTACCAGGTGGGAAATAAAGGCTTGAATAGGCCTTGTGGCCTAACAGTTGATTTGAGAGCAGGGCTGGCCAGCTTAGTCCCACCACCAGGCTCGTGTACTCTCTTCACGATACCATTCTGTAGAAGAACTAGTCAATCGACACCGTGCCTCGGTTTCCCTCGTTGAGTGTATGCCGGGCAGGTGTGGTGTAACTGGCTCCTTTCTCCAGCTGACCGCTTTTTAAGGCAAGGTCTGTGAACTCATCCTGGAAGAACAAAGATGATTTGAAATTCGCGATTAGCTGTGACATCGGAGAATGCTGGCCGTTGTCTTGACGATTGCTGTTGTCACTAGTGACCCTTTTCTGGGAGTGTTTATTGAGCTGAGATCCATATTCGTGCAGTCGGCGTTAGGAGGATAGATCTTAGTGGTGGAGCACTTATCTGTCCTGCATAAGGTCCTAGGTTCAGTCCCTGGTACTGGGGGAGGGGATCAACTTCATATAGTCCAAGCATTAGGTAAGAATGTATTAAACACATGTCCACGTGCAACATGTATGTGGGTACAGGTCACACACATGTTACACATGTGTGCAGGGTTGCCTTCCTTGGAGATACAGAACTTTGTATAAAACCGTGTTTTGAATTACCACTGCCTTATTTGTAGGAAAAAGAATAGTGCCCGCTTTCAAGTCAAGTCAATCGTATGAACGTATAGATGATCTCTTGTTACATTGTTTAATATTCTCAAAGAGAAATCCATTTCTAAATCCAGGCCTGGTGCCGCTGCTCTGTCACTAATTACTCAGGAGCCAGGAGGACTCTTGAGTTCAGAGCCAACCTGGGCTACAGAGTGAGTTCAAGGCTAGTCTGAATGACTGAGGGAGACCCCGTATCAAAAAGAAAAAAAGGAACGAAATAAACAGTGAGAACCTGGGGAGATGCTTCAGGTGTTCAGTTGCCTTTTGAATAAGCAACAAATGTGAGAGAGTTGAGGTCACCAGAAGCCGCGCTAACACCAGGTGGGTTGTCTGCACCGGGCAGGAAGAAGCACGGGAGTCTGATTGGCTGTGTCAGTGAGCTCTGGCTTCTCTGCCTGAATGAACAGGATAGAGAGTGGTGAAGAGGACTCCCAGTGTTGTCCCCAGAAACCTCCCTGCTTTCAGGCTAAGTGCTTAAGCATCTGTGATTTCTGTGACACGTTCTTATTGGTGCCTATTACCTTAGATTTCGAGCTTGCTGGTTGGTGGGCTATTTTGATGAAACCCCGCCAGTGTCTGTGTGCCCACCTGCTGTGGGGAGACAGGATGACAGCCCACGGCTTTTCTCTTTCAGATACAAAGTCATGAAGAACTGGGGTGTGATCGGTGGAATTGCCGCTGCTCTTGCAGCAGGGATCTATGTTATCTGGGGTCCCATTACTGAGAGGAAGAAGAGGAGAAAAGGTAGGGACGGGGCCCTACATCGAGGTCTTGGATTTGACCCGAGCCTCTTTTGTCTGATTGGGTGGTTGGTCCTCTCCTCTTTAGAGCGAGATTCATGGTCTGTGAAGGGAACTTCTCCCTCTGTTGTGGGAAGGCTGTGTCTCACACTGGATTTTAAGACATGCTTTGTGCTGGCCTGGTGGTGGCTCATGCCTGCAATTCGAGCACTTGGGATGCTGGAGCAGGGGTATACCATGAGTTTGAATCCATCCTGTGCTTTATATATATAGCAAGTCCCAGGCCAGACAGGGTGGCATAGGCAAGACCCCATTCCAACGGGGGTGGGGGTGGGGTGACAAGGCAGGCCTTGTTTGTCGTTATGTTTCAAGTGGCTCAATTGTCTGAAGTTGTTGTTAATGTGTGATTGTGTTTCCAGTCGGGCAGCTGACTGATTACATCACAGTAGTGGCTTCTCTGAGAGACAGGAGGGAAGAGGAGAAGGGGAGAGGGGAGTGGAGGCGATGGTTGTGGAGAAGCTCGGTGTGTGTTTTCCTGAGCATTCTCATATTAAAGAGTTTCCAAGCAAGGCTTGGTAGCACACACTTGTGCCCACACTCTAAGACGGAGGCCAGCCTGGGCTCTGTGTACTGAGTTCGGGAGTTTTTGCAGAAGAGGAAAAGAGGGCATTCCTGTGAGCCACTCGGTGCTGCTGTCTCTGTGGGCAGACTGGCCAGTGTCTTTCTCGGTCACTGTGGGAAGAACAAAGCATTGTCCCCAGAGGCGGTACAGTTCCCATTGTGGAGCACGGGTTTCTAACTAAAGGAGAGAGAGTCCAGGATTGCGTCAGAGCGAGGAAGAAGGCATGGCTGCTGTTTTTGTCTGTCTCATATCTGTGCCGGGCACCTGGAAGGGTTTCAGAGAGAACACAGGACAGAGGTCCACACTGTGGCTCCGTCTGCAGCATAGCACGTCCAGTGCCCAGGTTCACTCAGGGTGGAATCCCCACTGAGGGCTCCCATGCAGAGATGCCTGGTCCCAGAAGGGAGAGGAAAGAAGGTCTCCTCTCCCTGGTGATGCATTGTCCTCCCCCTCCCCCACTCTCCCTAGGGCTTGTGCCTGGCCTTGTCAACCTGGGGAATACCTGCTTCATGAACTCGTTGCTGCAGGGCTTGTCCGCCTGCCCTGCCTTTGTCAAGTGGCTGGAAGAATTCACCACTCAGTACTCCAGGGACCAGCAGGGGCCACACACACACCAGTGCCTGTCCTTGACACTGCTGAACCTCCTGAAAGGTACTGGGGACCTGAGGGCCGAGCCTCTATAGTGTCTAGTTGGCAGAAGAAGAAAGGCTTAGGAACCACATTGTGGGAGAGGGGCGTGCAGCCAGACCCTAAGAGATAGATTGGGAAACGGTTGTATTTATTGTGTGCGCGCAGCACGCATAGGGAGGTCCGGACAACTTCGGTTCTCTTCTACCGTCTGGTCCTGGGGACTGAACTCGGGCCGTGAGGTTTGGGGCAGGTACATTTACCTACAGAGCCTTCTCAGCAGCCCCACTTTTTTTGAAATTAAAAACAGAACCATCTATTAAAAAAAAAAAAAAACACACAACTCTTTCAGTTTAATAACAGCTTTTAAAAGAAGGTATTTCTTTTTTTTTAAAAAAAAAGCTGCCATACAAGCACTTCAACTATAAGTTTTAAAAGAAGTGAGTATTTTGGCCCAAGAAATAAGATAATTCACAAGAAACACAAATAAACGTTATTGGGTTTTGTTTCCTTTTACCTGTCAGAAAAGATGAAAAAGCCAATCCCAGGGCCAGACAGCTGTTAGCCAGGGTAGGCATACGCTCCTGTTGGGGGTGGACATGGTTTGACCTTTCCTGAGTGTGCTTTAAAAGCATCCAGTGAGCTCGTGCAAGATGGCCGGTACCGCCCGGTCTGGTAATCTCCCTGCCAAAAGTCTTTCTCACGGTCACAAGTAATGTCTGGGAAAAGATGTGGAGATTTATTTATTTAAAGATTAATTTATTTTATGTATGAGTACACTGTTGCTGTCTTCAGACACACTAGAAGAGGGCATCAGATCCCATTACAGATGTTTGTGAGCCACCATGTGGTTGCTGGGAATTGAACTCAGGACCTCTGGAAGAACAGTCAGTGCTCTTAACTGCTGAGCCATCTCTCCAGCCCCAGTAGGGCCACGTGTACCACAGTGTGTTATCTTTTCATTAGGGAGAGCTAATGTTGCTACAGTAAAAGCAGGGTAGAAAATACAGCAGGATTTCCTGAGGGGATGTGAGAGCCTCGGGTAACGGCTGCTTTCCAGGAAGACCTTTGCCATCAGATACTGGCCTCCACAGACACACACTACACACATATGTGTGAGGTAGTCCTGCACAGACACACACCTGCACATGTACATGTGAGGTGGTACTTTTTCTGGCATTGGCATTTTCCTGATGGAGAGTGACTGCTGCATTTTAATCTTCCCACTGGCCATCGGCGTAGGAGAGATGGCCACGCAGGGCTCTGTCTGTGTTCTAGTCGGGTCGTTGGGGTTTTTTGTTGTTAGTGTATAGGAGCGCTTTTTTATTACAACTTTTTTTTTTTTTTTTTGAGAGAAAGGGTTTCTCTGTGTAGCCCTGGCTGTCCTGGAACCCACTCTGTAGACCAGGCTAGCCTCGAACTCTCAAACTCAGAAATCTGCCTGCCTCTGCCTCCCAAGTGCTGGGATTAAAGGCGTGCGCCACCACCACCCGGCAGCACTTTTTTCTTTTGAAAGTGGAGGTGGATGTGTGTGTGTGCCACATGTACGTGGGTGTCATGAAGGCCAGAAGAGGGCATTGGGTCCCCTGGAGCTGGACTTACAGGTGGCTGTGAGCTGTGATGTGGGTGCTGGGAACTGAACTGGAGTGTGGAAAGAGAGGTGGGCTCTCTGAACTGCTGATCGGCTGCTGCAGCCCCGCGTCTGTGCCCCCCATCTTAACCCTCTGCAGCCCCG